AAATAAAAGAAAAGAAGGTGTTCAGCAAAGAGACTCTTTTCGGCGAATTCATTCACTGAGCTGTACAATCGCATATTTATAAAATTTTGTTTTTGTGTGTACATTAGATTTATAAAGTTTAGATAATTATGTAATATAGGTTTGTCTCCAACGTCTCCAAGCCAAAAAATACCTATATTACATAATTATCTAAAATTTATAAATCTAATGTACATACACAAACAAAATTGTATAAATATGCGATTGTACAGCTCAGTGAATGAATTCACCGAAAAGAGTCTCTTCGCTGAACACCTTTTCTTTCATAGAATTGGTAATAGCCGGTTTAGGTATAAACAATGACAATAAAGTTAGAAATGTGCAAAAAGTGTAAAATAGTGGTAATAATGTTGATGGATAAAATGATGAGATGATCAAAACAGTGTCGACATAGATTACAAACAGGAGAGGATAATAGGGCTAATTAGTTTCCTCATTACACGGTAGGTTATAAGTTTAACGTTCAACATTATCTACATCATATGTAATGCAGGCCAAACAGGGTATTGACGAGTTTCTGTACTTGCTTGTACCTGCAAACAATCTCTTATAATCACTTCTAGATCTACTTGATGAGATGGAAGGTGGGGGACAGTTGTGAATGGATAGGGTGTTGAGAGTCAGACAATATGGATTTAGACCATTTCTCACATGAGTGAGTTCAGCTGTCTGTCTACTACAATAGTAATGAACCAGCTGACTTAGTGACACATCGCCTACCCTACTGAAAACCTTCAATACTCCTCACAATACGACATATTCGTTTTTGAGTAGCCCAAAAAAGACTAAGGCGGGAGCGGTGCAAGGGCGACAAAGAACAGTGGGTAAGACACAGTAGTTAACAAATTGTACAATTAGATGTTGAGTGATTCCTGCTTGTCTTACTTTATTACTACAGTAGGTTAGACTGGAACGTTTCCTTTATTATTATTATTGTTCCTTTGGGTTCCTAGTGGAACATAGGGCTTCAACTGCACGTCTCCACTTGTTTCTGTCTTCTGCTATACTTTTCACCTGCAGCCATATTAGTCCATACTGTTTCAGTTCCTCTTCACACGTTCTCCTCCATGTCACCCTTGCACCGACGAACCACTCGCCGCTTCCTGGCGCGCGATGTCACCCAGCGGCCTCCCCAGCGAGTGTCCAACCCATCTCCACTTTCTCCTGCATATTTGTTGAGCGATTGGTTCTTGCTTTGTTTATTCCCATAGTTTCTTGTTGGTGATTCTTTCCGGCCATCTGATCTTCAGTATAGAGCCAGCGAAGACAGTTGTTGATAAAGGCCTGCAACAGGCTGTTTGAAATATTCTTTGTGACCCGTCAAGTTTCTGATCCGTATAGAAGAACTGACTGACTTGACGTTTGTATTGAAAATCCGAATTTTGTTGTTGATGCTGAGTTGAGTGACGAAGATTTCCAGATTGGTTTCAGGTTGATGAATGTGTTTCTCGCCTTTCCAATTCTCGATTTGACATCCTCGTTCGTCCGTTTCTCCTGTAGTTGAGACAATGCTCCCTAGATAAGTGAATGAGGTAACCTCTTTCAAATCCCTCCCATTGATGGTGATTGGCGGTGGATGTTGCTGCTGCTGTTGTTGTTGGTTGGTTAGTTATTTTCATAACCTCCATCTTGTCTATGTTCACCTGGAGTCCTGTCCTCTCTGGCTGCTTCTTCGACCAGTTTGTCGCTTTTCGCTTGTAAGTCTTCGATTTTGTGTGACATCAAACATAAATCATCCACGCGCGAACTCCAGGTCTTCTAGGTTCTTCACGTCGGTTCAGGATATCGCTGTTTTCTCGTTTCCCACTGTCTGACGCATAATCCAGTCCACCACAATTAGGAATATCATTGATGATAATAAGTACCCTTGTCTGACTACTCCAAACGCTTCGCTGAGTTTTCCGTTGTGGATCACTTGACATGTGCCGTTGTCGTACAGCTGTTGAATAAGGTTGATGAGTATTTGGGGTACGCCGTAGTACTCGAGTAGTTTCCAAATTACTTCGCGGTCAACGCTGTCGAAGGCCTTCTGAAAGTCTATAAAGTTGAGGTAGAGGTTTGATTGCCATTCCAAGCTTTGTTCGATGATGATGCGTAGAGTTGCAATTTGGTCAGAACATGATTTGCCTTTCCTGAATCCAGCTTGTTCTGGTCGAAAGGTTTCCTTAGAAAGAAATATTTCAAATTGTTTTATGCTTGACTCAGTTTCTATTTCAGTGCAAAGATTAGTGCGACTAACACCACCACCATCACCACCACTACTTCAACTAATTTATTGTTTGATTAATGGGTCAATCCTTGAGATAATGCAAATGGAGGCCGACCGTGACACGTGGATAGGGGTGGACAAGCTCACAACACCCGTCTGAACCAGAAGAATACAGATAATTTCATTGGTCTCAGTTCAGAGACCGTTGCAGAAATTACACTGCAAAGAACAGACACTACACATGATCTCAACTCAGAGAGACGAGAAGCGATGATCTGGAATGAAGCTTTGACCAAAACATCTGTGTGTATTTTAGTTGAAGCAGTTAACGATTTTCTCTGAAACTCGATCTTATGTAACAGTAAATCCTAGGAATTTCGTCAAAGATACGATTAAAATAGATGCGTCATTCCTCTTACACCGAGACCCACACAGCATATTTCATCGATATCTCCTCAGCTTCATTGTATCCAAATAATGAAATTTGACTATTCCATTACAGTTTTACCCAGCTTTAGTTTATTGGAAATAAAACGTGATACGTTAATTAAGAATGATAATGATAAAATAGATGAATCAGAATTCTGCATTGGTAAAATTTTCCCCTGTTTAAATGTGTAATGTGATCTGAGTATCTCAAATAAAATGAATAGTTGGAAGCAAGGGTAGCGAAAAGACATTCAGGTACATAAATTATAAGGTTACGTGAATCACTGAAAGATCGTGAGATATGAAAAACTGTGAGTGAAGCTCATCTAATTAGACATCAGACATATGAAACATGATAATTCATGAGTGACGATGTAACCAAGAGTGTAAGTATAAAACTCGGGCACTGTGGTAGAGCATAACTCCATTATGGATAAGATTTTATTTTGATAAATCACAGTGTTGTACAGTTATATTAAATAAGAGTGGCTGGAAGGAAGCCAGTATTCACATTTCATGGAAGATGACATGATCTGTTAAGGTTAAAAACGAGTTACTGCGGTGGAGAAAGACTCACTACAGTTTCTTTTAGAATTAATGAGTCAACTTCTAATGGTTTGATACTGATGGCCCCTGTGAACTTCAAGTGACTTGAGCCTGATTGTTTGTCTCCTTGCTGTAATTTACACCTTCAATGTATACTGAACACGAAAGTCCAATTCGAGAAATTAATTGACCAGACGAAAGATTTGGTCCCAACCTCATATGACAGTGCAGACCTTTTCAAATCAACCGTTTTAAATTGCTGTCCTGATTGTATCATCAATAAACCCAACTTTCGTAACGTATTTTCACAAGAACATCGAAAGCAGCTGAAAGAACTGAAGGATAATGAAAACTTGATCATCACGCGGCCAGATAAAGGCTCCGGAATCGTCTTGATGAACAAATCAGACTACGTAAGCAAACTTTCGGTGATATTTTCTGATGATAAAAAGTTTCAAAAACAATCTCTTTACAGAAAAATTTCACCGAACAGACGGAGCTCCAGCTAACAAAGATATTGAAGAAAATGAAAGGCGAATCCATTATCAGTTCATAACTATACAAACAACTGCGTCCATCTGATTCTACAACGCCGCGCATGTGCGGCTTAACTAAAGCGTACAAACAAGATATCCCACTCCGCCCGATACTAGATATGATAGATTCCCCATATCACACAATCGCGAAATGGCTGGTAGAAATTCTCAGGCCGGTGAAAGAGAAGCTGTCAAGACACAACCTCCGTGACACATTCGACTTTGTTGATTCAATTAAGAATGTCAACGTGGCAGACAAGAAAATGGTCTCCTTGGATATCGTCTCTCTCTTCACCAACGTTCCATTGACAGAAACCGTATGTTTCCTTTGTGACTACATTCAATCCAATAGCATCTATGTCGGTATACCAATCCATTACCTAAAAGAACTGTTACTACGATGCACCTTCAACGTATACTTTAGTTTCAACAACGAAATATACAGGCAAGTAGATGGAGTAGCAGTCAGTTCTCCCCTAGGACCCTTCCTGGCCGACTGCTTTATGTCTAGCCTAGAAAACAACTCCTTATCATCAACTATCGACGACCTCCATCTCTACAAGAGATACATCGATGGTACTTTCATTATTTGTGATGAGAATTGTGATCTAAAGAACCTACTTCAAATCTTCAGTAACGCCCACCCAAACATCGACTTCACCCTGGAAGTTGAGTCTAACTCAATGTTTCTTTTTCTCGACGTTCAACCACGAAGGAATGCAGACAACTCGCTAAGAAGATCCATCTACAAAAAGCCCACATGGAACGGACAGTTTATTCACTTTCAAAGTTGTGTGCCTCTAAGCAGAAAGAGAAACCTAATATACTCTCTTTCCTCGAGGATCCGGAAGATTTGCACTGAAGAGTCAATCGATGAAGAATTACAAAATCTCCGAGGGACCTTGATAGAAAATGGATTCCCACCCAGATTCATAGACTAGAATCTAAAACCAAGGAAAACACCTGAAAAGGTCCAAGTCGCCCCCGAAAAGATGCTGATATTGAACCTCGAATTTAAAAGTGATACCGAAGCAGAAATTCTCCGCAGACGGCTTTTGAAGTCTCTCAGTAAAACATACTTCGCGATAATCTTGATTCGACAGATTGTTACAGATGTGAAACTTGAAGAATGACAGTGAAATGAAAATCTGAGTTACGGGAGGATTCAAACCAGCGCTGAACTACATTAGTAGTCCATGGATCTTGTAGATCAGTTGAGCTAATAATTTGAAAACTGCCGTTTCCAGTTCTGCCGTCATGCAGACTGTCATCTCACCTTGAATGATCATCCACTACACAACATTTTCTTGGTAAATGGATGTTTTTTGAAGAAAAAAAAACTGGAAAAATATCATTTTGATATATGAAACCCAGATTTTAATGACCCTTTCAGTCTAACTTTATTTCTTCTAAGATTTTCTCACTCAGTTCACCCATCCGACTTTTTTCAAGGAAACATTAGAACCGTACACATCACATGGAATGAGCACGTGAACTGTTAATTATTATTATTGTTTCCTTTAATTCCTAGAGGAACATAGGGCTTCAGCCACGAGTCTCCATTGCGTTCGGTTCTCTGCTAGAGTCTTCACCTGGCTCCAAGTCTGCCCATATGCTTTCATCTTCTCTTCACATGACCTCCTCCAAGTCACCCTTGCACTGACGACCAACTCGCTGCTTCCCTTTCGGGTTCCACTCGACCAATGGCTTGTCTAGTGATGTCACTTGATGGTTTCCTCAGAGTATGGCCAGCCAATCCATCTCCATTTCTTCCTGCCTATTTGTTTCACAATCGGTTCCTGGTTGGTTCGCTCATTGCCAGAGATCTCTGTTGCTGATCTTTTCTGGCCATCTGATCTTGAGTGGTATTGAGCGAAGACAGCTGTTAATGAAGGTCTGTAGTTTGTTTGAGATGCTCTTTATGACGCGCAGTGCAAGTCCCTGATCCGTATAGTAGCACTGACTGACTTCACATTGGAGTTGAAAATCCGGATCTTATTTTTGATGCTGAGTGCTGTTGACCTCCACACAGACTTGAGAGTAGTGAAAGCTTGTCTTGCTTTCCCGATCCTTGCTTTGATATCCTCATCAGTTCTGTCCACCTGTAGTTGAAACGATGCTTCCCAGGTCGGTTGGTGAAGGAGGTTGTTTCTTTCAGGTTCCTTCCATTTATGCTGATTGTTGTCTGGTGTTGTTGTTGCTATTGGTGGTGTTGGCCAGGAATCTTCATCACCTCTGTTTTCTCTATGTTCACCTGAAGTTTTATCTTCTCTGGATGCTTCTTCTGCCAACTTGTTGCTTTTCACTTGCATATCTTCCAGTTTGTGGGAAATCAGACATATATCATCGGCGAAGTCCAGATCCTCCAAGTTTTTTGTTTGAGCCCATTTTATGCCTGTTTCCTCATTGTCCGCTGTTTTTCGCATTATCCAGTCTACTGCAATCAGGAAAATCATTGGCGATAGTAGGTAGCCTTGTCTTACTCCTCTCCTCACTTCGAAGGATTCCGTAAGTTTCCTGTTGTGGATTACTTGGCATGGAGCATTGTCGTACAGCTGTTGGATGAGGTGTATAATTGTCGGTGGCACCCCGTAGTAGCGAAGTAGTTGCCAAAGCACCTCTTGATGGACGCTATCGAAGGCCTTTTGTAGATTAAAATCTACATCAGTTCAAAACTCGAACAGTTTTCATTCATCCAAAACATATTTTTACTATATTTTTCAAAATCCCGTAACATTCTAAATTAATTATTTTCTTCTCTAGGTCATTTGGTCAGAACGTGTGATTGATGAAAGTGATCAAACACCTGAGACTGTTGCTATCAGACAGTTGAATGATTTGATAGCTGCCGATAATCGTGTACGAATATCATTCCTTAATCTCTCAGACGGATTGACAATTGTCGTCAAAAATTGACGAATATTTTTTTGGTATCATGAATTCTTATATACTGAATAAACTTTGACAATAAAGCCACATGAATCAATAATACAAAAAATGTGAAATCATGCTTCTTTTTGTCTGCTTTTAATTTGACAACTGGCAAAAACGTTCGTGCTCAGAAGTTACAGATTTCATTCACTGTAAAAGGGTTTTCAATTTGGTATCTGTTGTTACGTTTACCACATTTATGCCGAAATTACGTGTGACTTCCAATTTTTCGTTATTTCAAATAAACTTTGATGGTGAGAATCACTGGGAACACGCAAAACTTTTCAGTTAAACTCTAAACTACTGAATAATTAAATTGAGTAGTTGTATACTGCTCACTTCAATTATTAGTGGTTGCCTACTAGTTACATTGAGGTGATCTAGTGAACCGGGTGATTGTTCCTCTTATTTGAGGCCTAGCTCATCAGAAGTATGCGTGACTCAACTCAGCTCAGAGATTTGAATCACTTCAAACCATCCGATCAGTCAGTAGTAGTATGCTTGCTTTATTGATTACCGCTTATGGTATCAGGCAGATCACATATGCTGTGGTTTGAATAATTTTGGTTTCCCAAGGAAAATGTGTGCGTCGGTGGCACAGTGGTAGGATACTCGTCAACTACGCGTGTGGTCCGGGGTTCGATCCCCGGCCACCAACACACTCCCTTACCTCAATAAGTTAGTAATAAGACTGGTAAAGAGGGAAGGCTGGGCATGAAGCCAGCAACCCCTTTCCGTAGAAATAAACACGGCTGCTACCGGAACTTAAGGCCTTTAGCTTGAAGCCCTATGTTCCACTGAGGGAATGCACGGGAATAAAATAAATAATTCTAAAAAGTAAGGAAGTTGTGGTGATATTTCACCTCCGTGAACTGTGTCAACTACGAATTTGATTTATAGTTTGAGGGTTATCTTAAGACAAATCACTTACACCTATATAGTTCTGGTAAAACTTCAAAGATAATTATTCGAAATACATTTGGGGTATGATTGGTCAATACAAAAACGAGGAACACGCCTTCCTAGATTAATTCAAATTATTACTCCAAGTGAGGATACAAGTAATCTGAAGACATTTTCGCAACATATATTGAAGCTGTGCAATGATTAAGATATTCCTTTGAACACGCAATACAATATTAAATAAGATCGCGAACAGAGCTGACTGCCTGCGAAAATTCAAAATTGCAAATGAACACCTTCATTCTGTCCTATGAAGTAGGCGGAAATGGAAGAGAGGTAGATATTTTTGCGACTACTAATATCCCTGTTGCTTCTAAAGCTATTACATCGACTTTTTACGTAGGTGGAGTGTCTGTTACATCACTAACTAAAGTATTCGTGAAAACACCCTAAGATTACTTTTATACGCACCCAGTTTTTCCACACTTTTACGGTCAGTATGTGGAAGGAATATTATGCTAGTAAGGGGATATACGAAGACGATTAATGAATGGCATAGTATGTTGTTCGTGATTTCATTGTCTCTTCCGTACTGTTTTCGGATGAGTTTCTGAACATTAAGACATTTAGAGAGTTAATTCAAGAACACTGATGAATGAAGCATACTTTATGGTATCCGTAGTGAACGTATATGGATCCTGAGGATTTTGCATATATATGAAGACAGGAAAGGCTTACACTCCATAGCGGTATTGACTACATTTTTCGTGACATTAAGCTGAAATCGCCTCTTTTGATGTAGGTTAATGGTTAGGTATAGATGATTGAGACGTCAACACTTATAGGTTATTATTAAGTCAAAGTGAGATAAGCTTTAAGTTAATATTCATTCAAACAACCCCTACATTGAGATTGTGAATTAGATTTACTGGAAATACTGAGTTTCAATCAGGTTTCAAGCCTAATTAATACCCAGAAATCTGACACGGTGATGAGTAGTATCTATCGTGTGCTTGTTAAGTCCTAATTTCAACAGATATGTCGAATCGTTTAAACTATGTTGTTGAACATACTCAGATTTATCTCAGCCCTGTCTTTTTAAGATTATGCCTACTCCGACTAAGAAATTCAAATAAGAGTTTATTCCAAGTTTTTCATACTCTATAGTGATCCTTGAAAAGACTACTACGAATATGAAAATTACACAATTATTTCAAGTATTACTTTGTTGGATATAACAGGCTGGGCGTGAGGACAAATACTCACCGAAGACAATGGCTAGTGGTTGTGGTATATCGCGAATTGGCAGAAACTGGAATTCATGCACTGGCCATTGGATCGGGATTATTGGTCTGCGAGCTTTCCTTGTAACCAGAAGGTCGTGGGTTTGAACCCCGATGGATGCGTACTGACGAAGAGTCCCAAACCAGGACAAAACATGTTTCTGGTACTCCCTGGCTGGTTTTCCAATGGTTCTCTAGCCGATGATATCAGCTCATAATGAAATCCTGTAACCAATACAATTATTTCTTTGGAATATTATTCAAAATGGGAAAGAAAAGAAGGAGAAGCTCAGCTCAGTCTTTCAGAAAGTTCACTTTTTCATTCACTTCGTCAGGTTTGATAGAGCAACCCAGAAACCCACTTGACACTTTTCATATGTTAGAAAGTACCCATCAGGAACTTCTTGTTGTTTTCTCCTTATGTCCTGATGGGTATTACTCACAATTATTATTCAACTAACTGCTGGGTGGTATATTATTAATGCTTGACATCAGTAGTTGAAAACTGCTCAAGTTAAGCAGTAGTCTTTGCTAGCTCGCTTGTGGTTGAGATTATGATCGGTGTAGCCATTAATACTGAACTTGGGGAACTCCATTAACAGAAACCATACTATTTCGGGTTTGCGAACTGTACAGTGTAATGCACCTTCTTGTTACTGTAAAAAATGAATCAACTAAAGATTAGTTAAATAAACTGCTGGCTAACTCCCCCATACTCACAGCTAACACGCATGTAGTTCTGGTAATAATCCAAAGATAATTATATGATATACATTTAGCGCATGATTGGTTAATGTTTAAAATGAGAAAGATGGCTGCATATATCAATTCAAATTATTACTCCAGGTGAGGATACAAGTAATCTGAAGACGTTTTCAAGTATAGTCTAGAGGGCGGAGCAAAACATGCTAAAGCTCTACAAATTTCCCATAAACCACATTTAAAACAGACAAACAGAACATTCGTAGTGATTATAGTATTTCTTTTAAACATCCAGTACAATATCAGATGAGACTGTGAATAACGCTAGCTACCTTGAGAAATTTAAAATTGTAATTAACCACCTCCGTTGGGTCATATCAATTTAGGCGGAAATGAAAACAAGGTGGGTTGTTCGCCAGCTACTTATATTCTCAAAACTTTCGAACTTGTTATATATCAACATTTCACACGGGTAGGATGTTTAGTATTGTTTAGTATCCTTAATAAACTTGTATTTACCCGAAGGTTCATCGCCTATACGGATCATGCAGCTTCCGCATATATATGCAAACATACAGTACTGCTGTAACAACAGAAGACAAGGGCCAGGCAACAGATCGTTTATTAAGGAAAATCAACACATATTTATAGATTTTAATGTACATTATCATAGATTATTGCTAGCAGAAAATACAGTCTTTTGATTGGTTGTTTCTCACAGAAAGTTATCCTTGCATCTCTTTGTGGCTGTGTCAGATCATCCATATGCTAACTGTATCCGCCTACGCAAAGCCTTTGTTCTCATTTTCTCACCACCAATATTGGGGACATAAACACTGACGTCAATTACTGTCTACCAACTTTGGCTAGCAGCTAGCTCTCACCACACTGCTACGCCTACTATCTGAGTGTGATGCTTGCAGGCCACTGTACTGCAGACTGCGATTGTCGTGACACTGAGCTAAAACTGTTTATATGCTGCATATTACACTATTAAAGGATGAACCCTTAAACTTAATTATCGAGTTACAATGAGAATAACTTCGGGTTAATCTGAATTTAAACATACTTTCTATTTCGATTGCCATTCAAATGCATTGAAAGGACTATGTTTCAATAAAATATTGAACATGGTTACTATGACGAATCAAGTCAGTTAACAGCATTCACCAACAAGGTTACCATCTAGCTCGTCCATGACCGAGATTGTCACTGGCGTAATCATTTTGCAGTGAACCCAGGGAACTGGATTAGTTGAAACCATACGAGTTTGGGTTAGTGAGTACTACAGTGTAGTTCACCTTCTTGGCACCGAAATAAAAGTCGGACCAAGATAAAAAGATCAAGTTGAATTAACTAAAGATTAGTTTCATAAACTGTTGGGTAGGAGCTTCTAGACACCTAAGGTATTCTAAGTTTCATTTCAAAGAGTACTGATTTGATCACGCTCTGACACAATTTTTACGCTTCATTCATATTGGTTGATCTGCATTTTTCATTATCCGTAGACCAGACATACTAGCCAGAAAAGTAAAACAAGGTTTTTCCCTAAAATAATTTTAACATTTGTTCTCATTTAAATATATTTCTTTTTTTCCTCAGGATTCACAAGAAACTGAGCCTATACATCTTATTCTTCATTGACAGTACTAACAGAAGTTAGATAAGCTACTGATCAAGATGGTACGACAACACATACAACTTTGTAATGTTGGTTAATTGTTGTGCAGTAACATTACATTTGGACTCTTACAACTATTCCCAACTATACTCTTATTATTAGATATTATGGAGTAGATTCGTAGCTCTTGAGAATGATATTGATGTAGTCGTGTTTTCTGGGCTTTATGGTTTTGTTACTAAATCTTCTTCAGTGTCTATCTGGGCAATATCCTCAGCTCAAACTTCAATTTGAAGTGAGATTTGAGAATTCTCCAGGAGTTTATTAGCCACTTCTCTTGGAAACTTTTAACGTTATTGGTTGTTTGAGGGTATTATCCCACCATCCAGTCCACTATTATTAGTACCGATTGTTTTGCCAACCTGAAAGTTGACTTTTTATTCATGTGATTTCATTTTTATTTATCAGCACACATCCATGTAAATATGTCTATTAACTCCATATTCGTCTGAGTGACAGACTCCTAGAAATTCCCTAACATTCTCGGTTCTTCCTTCGTCATGAATTTTTACATCTTTCCAATCGAACTGGCGTCTGTGGTTGCCTGCATGGACTGATATGAATAAATGAATATCATCTCTTTTGGCGGCTAGTTTATATATATGGACGCGACAACAGGGATGGTATCTCTTTTGACCAATATAACGTTTTTCACAGTTGTTGCAGTTCATCTTGGAAATGACATTTCCTTTGCATTTTTCACTGTGGTTTCTTTAGGTTGAAATAGTATCGATTGATGTACATCTATTCCAAAAGGTTTCATTAGTCTTGCAGAGATTTCAGAGAAGTTCTTCATGCATGGTAATCACTAGAATAAACCTTACTTCAGTTCCGTTGGCTACCTAAGCTGATTGTAGGCAATTTATGATGAAATTCCGTGAATATTCAATTTTCGGAAGAGATTTATAAGATGTTTCTTTTCAATCCTCCTCGGGAATTGAGTACTGAAGTGTGTCCTGGCTCTTTTGAATAGTGTTTGTGCACAACTGCTTTTGTATACCGATGGGTTGATACTATTGTACCATTCACGAAATGCATCTAAATTGTAGGTTGAATTTTTGGTAGAATTATGGTTTCGAGCCTTTTCATAACAGTCTTAGCAATCAGTGTATAATGCTGTGACTTTGAAAGATACCATTATTTTTAAGTGGTCTGTTTGAATGCCTTTGATTTGGTCTGAGAATTGAGTTGGAGATTTTACTCAGTGATCACGGTGTCCCGTTAAATATCTTAGTTTTCTGTAGAGCTCTTCAGGTAAATTGTGTATTGTGGTTGCCGGAAATGAGACGATTGGTGGGAGAGGGATATTTGGTTTGTGTAGTTTGGGTCCTTCCTATTAGTTCCAGTCTCCACTAATCCTTCTTTGCAATCTGACTCCCTTTAACAAATTCATCTAGAGTTCTTTGGAATTATTTATCTAAGGTTTGGGTAGGATTGGTCGTGGGTCTTCAGCCTTCTTAGTGTATTCCTATTTGTCCATGGGTACTGTGATTCTCCCTTTGTAGGCTGGTAGTATGTCGATGTTTTCCTATTCTTTGGTTTTTTCAAAGGATTTCTCATCTTGCGAAGAGAGCTGTGTATAGTGTTTTTCCCACCCTACCAGGGAATGGATCTATTGTATCAAAGAAGTCGGTTTTCGACGCATCATCAGTATTGTAGTTCAGTCCTTTTGGAAGGAGTTGTTGTCCTATATTTGACAGTGACGTGGAGAAAACAAAGGTGGTTAAGATGCCTAAGAAACAACAACAAGCATCAGCCAACATCAACAGGAGAATTTTAAAGGAAGTAATCCCTTCCTGTTAACCTGCGCAGCACCGTCTCGTCTACAAGTAGCACGAATAAGCATGCCAAATGCAGCCAGGTTCGGGAAGGTGAAACAGGTATTCACTATTCTGAAATCTCTATGGAGATTTCTGCAGGTAATACAAATAAGTAAATGAGGATTTATCATGCAAATGTAAACTCATTGCTTTTGTATTCCTCACAGACTTGCTTTGCTAACAAATGCATTTCTAACAGGCCACTACCGATTTCCATCAACACACACCTTCGCTGCCTTAACACTGAAGGTGTCATGGTCAGAAATGATTAGCAACTGGTAAGTCTAGCAGAGAGCCAGTCAACCGAGAACCTGTTTCCCAAAAATTATTCAAAAGGGAATGCTGACGTATCTGATGTAATCTGGGGGAACATTCAAGTGACATCACAGGCGAGGCAGGCTACCAGTTTAATCTACAGTGGGTGTTAGCCCTCTGTTTAATAACGTACCCTTAATTAAGATATTCTTTGTCATTACATGTCCTCTGATTGTCTTCCACTCTCTCACTCTGATGAAATGAACCTTGTTAAATATGTGGACGATCTAACTGTTTCAGTGCCTGCTAACTCCAAGCTAGACTGTACTAAGATGAAAAGCTTTCTATCAGAAGTCAGCAAATGGTTTTCGTCTAATGGTCTTAAACTAAATCCTTCCAAATGTCAGACTGTTAATTTCAGTTACCGATGTCAAACAAAGTTAAATGAAGCTGTTTATTCTTATGAGCACTGTAAAATTCATGATACTCATATATAAATCAAGTTAGACGTTAAATATCTTGGACTAATTCTATGTTTTGATCTATCCTGGTCTTCTCATGTCATAGCAATTTCTAAAAAGACATTTTGTCTGACTTTTACATTAAGAAGTTAAGGCACTTGGGCATAATCAACCCCTCCTCTTACAGTTTGTCAGGCTCCCCCAAGTCTGTAAAAAGTCAATGTAGGATATGGTGGTCGATGTCCAGTCTGAAAAAATAAACCAATCAGAATTTGCCCACATAAAATGTGCCCACTTCTTTATTGATTATGATTACAGACTAAATGATATGATATTGTCGATAAGTGATACTTGCGATTACCGCACCTGTCACCAGCTCAGTATACCTATTTCAACTCAAAGTTTTGCAAAATATGTTATTAACCTTAACCTACGTTGATAATTCTTAAAGAATTATATTACCAAAAGTCGTGTTAAACGATATCCTCTTTATTCTTAAATCTATTATCCTCTTTGTTTATTTGAATTGACCTTTCATTTTTCATTTTAATTGATTTGACAAGTATATACCTATGATCAAATTGTGTTCAAAATATATTGAGCAAATGCATCGTCACATGTTTCAGATAAACTCTATCTTTGGTAGGAATAGGCTTAGAACAGTAATCGTCTTATGAGTTATCGCACGATCGGATGACTGTAAACTTTTATCATTCTTTTTCTCACCCTGGTCCTTGTCGAATTATCAACCAATCAGAATATTTATTTTTCACCAACCTAGCCGAATCATCCACCAATCAGAACAATCTATTTCCACTGCCCCATGGAGATTTTAATGTGGTTAAAAATATATAAATATAACGTGCTTTGTTCTGATAAAAGTGTATCCTAATGGTCACAGGCCAGTCTTTGTCTTTTCATATTCTTGATGTCCAACTAACAGGATGGAACACTGAAAAGGTCTATCCACAGAAAATCGACGTGGAACGGACAGCTTAATAACTTTCACAAATGGGTACCCCTATACACCAAACGAAACCTGATCCGTTCATTCAGCTACAGAGTTCGCAGAATTTGCACCCCGGACACCATAGAAGATGGACTGGACAACCTCAAGAGCATCCTCGTCGAGAATTGCTATCCGGAAAGATTTATTGCAAAATGTAAGAATCCTTGACCAGAAAAGCCGCCCATGCTTAGCGTCACGAAAGAACTACTATACATGAACCATCATTCAATGGAGATATATCTGCGGAAACACTAAAAAATCGACTGTCGCGCTCACTTAAGAAGACCTTCTTCGCAGCTGAACTACGACTAACCTTCTCCACAAAACCTATGATTCATGTGAAGATGAAGGATAAGCTACCACTGCTGGCCTCATCAATGTGTATTTATCAATTCACCTGCTCGTGTGGAGCCAGGTATGTCGGCCGTACCCAGCGTTCGCTTTCCAAACGTATCACCGAACACTTACCAACATGGTTTTACAAAGGAGAAAAACGATGCCCCCGCAGCTCCATCTTAGAACATCTGATAGAATCCGGACACCAAGCTACACCGCAAACAAACTTCAAAGTCGTCTACAGAGTAAGAAGTAGTCTTCCTAAAGGTGTACGAATCAAACTTCTTCAAACTGCAGAAGCAATGGCGATTCACTTGCTAAGTCCTGAACTCTGCATACAGAAGAAGTTCGTTCAATCACTACACTTGCAATGGACGTAATCTATCTTATTAGCCGACAAGTAAATTCTACCTAATCTTTTCTTCTGTCTCTTCATTAGTATTATTTTGTCTTCTCAATTGTAGTATTTTACATTTTCAACTTTCTTGTTCTCTACCCCCACCCGATTCAATTTCTACACCTCACTACCACTGTTACTGACTTGAACAACGCTCAATTTCTAGTCATTTATGTTACGTCATCCAACTTATTTGCTCAATTTCACTTCTACTTAGTCTCTACCTGTAATTACCTCTGTTGCTACCCTGATCTAAGTTGAAACATTTTAGTCAATTATATTACGTCATCTAGCTTACTAACTCAATCTTACTTTAGTTGCTGTCTGATTAACTTTGTTTCTATATTACATCATTCTTGTATTAACTAATCAATTATCTAAACTTGACAAACCTCATGTACACACACAAATAATTATATATAAATGCGATTGTACAGCTATGTGAATGAATTCGCCGAAAAGAGTCTCTTCTCTGAACGTCTTCTCTTTTTGATATTTACCCGGCTCAGTAAAGCGGAAGTTGCCACGGATGAATAAGTGTATCTAGCATATCGGTATTATTGTTGGTATTATTATACCCACACATAAGTTCACTCGGTCATATCACCTATGAATGTGATCGATCGTATCAGTTGATGTCAGGTCTATAACAAATCGGCGATGAGTTCATTCCAAATAGTGTGCCATAGATCATGACAGTCTTCCAAATTACTACCAATAATAATTTCGGTTAAAAATCGACTGTAAATGATACAAGTTTATTTCAAAAACAACTAAAAGTCAGAAGTTCTACATAATTTTGTCATTGATATATATACAAAAAGCTACATACAATAAGCACAACTCGTTATAATGGCTGACGGTCAATTTTTGACAACAATTGTCAGTCCATCTGATAGATTAAGCATTGATATACGTACACCATTGTCGGCAGCAATTAAATCATTCAACTGTCTGACACCAATAGTTTCCGAGGTTTGATCACTTTCATCGATCACAAGTTCTGACCAAATGACCTAGAAAAGAAAATAATTATTTGGAATGTTAACAGATTTCAAAAAAAAAATAAAAGTAAAAATGATGTTTCAGTGAAGTACAAGTGTTAAAATATTTAAGTAATGTAAACTTTTAATCTTTAAAAGATGAGATAGAATAGCGCTGGGAATAGATTTTGTTTGTCCTTTACTTAACCACTTTGCAGGGTGATGTTCAGAAATTCGACGAGAAACACGCCTAATTGTACGTCCTATGTAACTGGCTCACTGCATAGGAGCAGTTAAATTGATAAATACATATAGAAGAGGCGAAGTTAGGCAGTTTATCTTTTACTCCCGAACGCCAAGGAGGAGTAGTTTTGAAGACACAGCGTAATTCAGCAGCAGCAGGGAATGCTCTTTTTACCGCATTTCTAAGGCGCTGTGTTGGTATTTCTGTTGGTACTTTGGTCTGCTTTGATTTCAGATTCATATTCTTATCAATAAACTTTTCTGGATAACCATTTTCACTCAGCAACCGTTTAATATTATTAACTTCCTCATCAAGACATTCATCCTCAATTTCGCCTTAAGATTTCGATTACTAAATATTGCTGAGGCTGGCCGCTGGGATCCACATCAAGAAGCCTAATTTGTGCGTCCAAAAGAAGTTAGTTCAGACATTATTCTTACCTTGGCCATCGAGGTTGGAGTGGTCCTCAATTTTTGTGGAATTTTCCTAATTTTAGTTTATATTCTATTTGCTATTATATCTTTAGTATTATTATAATTTAAGCATCTTTAATGAACTGTGGTGATTCCATTGTGATCTTACTTTACAAATCGATATTATTTAAAAAACACTAATACTGTTATTGACTACTATTCTAGAATATTCTATGTATATAAACATATGCATATATAATTGTAGAGCCAGAAGAGGAAATTATCGAAAAGGATATTCTTTGCTCAATTATTTTGTGTTTTATAGATGTCTGAATGAATATTTTCGCTATATTCACATTTTAGTTGCGCATTCCACATATATGCAGAGTTTTGATGCTTATCTGAAAAACCAGATGTTTTTTTCAAAAAAGGCTGAAAAAAAAACTGCATGAGAAAATCATCTCGAATAAAATGAAACTAAAGGGGAGTTAAAATCGGATTTCATGTTGGAAATAAGATTTTTCTAGTAACAGGTTTGCTTCCAATCTTCTTCAAAAAACATTCATTCACATGAGAAATAACATGTGGTTGTGCGGTGATTGACGGTGAGATGACAATCTAGATCACAAAGGAATTCGAAACGGCGGCCTGTGAATTACAGATCAAAACGGATCTACAAGATTCCCGGACCAGTAATCTAGTGGGCACTGGTTTGAATCCGTCGATTAACTCAGATTTTCATTTTACCGACATGCATCAGCCGCCATATCTGTATCAAACAGTCTGTCTACTCAAGACTAACTCAGGTAATCTCTCCATCAAAATAATATGTGGTGCTCCGTTAAAGATAGAGAACATACAATGGTGTGGTGTTATTTAGTTTGTGTATCACCGTGCGTCTATTTTATGGAACAGAAGTATTCCCTTATTAGATTTTACAACATTACCATATGCATCTAGAAGGTTCAACTGCTTTCGGGTATTTCTGGCTAAGATAGTGACTGTCCATGTACGCAGAGCGGGGTAGTGAGAACTGAATTTAGTAAAAACGAAGAGAAAATTTTTTCACCGGAAGGAGTTTTGTGTGCATATTCCGTTGGTCCCACACAAAGTTGTCTATAAATCACTTTGATAAAAGCAGCCAGCTTATATCTATAACTATTAGGTTTCTGGGCATGTACTCGTTTGTAAATGAGTGTGTCAAGGCAAGAGATTATTTCAGAAGCACTATGAATGTCTGAAGGCTAAATAACCCCATCGAATTCATTGCTGTTTTCACAATGGTTGGTTGAATGACTTAGTTAACTAGTAGTATTAATTAAAACAACTACATGAAGACACTTTCTGTGGAACAGTTGGGGAATTAGTCAGAAGACAACCTTCATTATTGGATAGGGGACGTAATACACTTGCGATTCGTGCATAAAACTCTCTCATTTTCCTTATATTTCGCATACACATGTATTAGGTGTTCCTTTCTCACGGTTAAGTGTATATTACATATTTATATATTTGTATAGTTTCGTCAAGAAGCATGCAGCCAACGTTCTTCTAAACCCGAAAATGAAATATTAAACGCGGTGTTAATAATTATTTTCTCATATACACTGTACTACTTATAAATAGATATGAGTAGTCTGTCGATTAAAATCATCTGAGAAGAACTGATTATCTGTGCATCAGTGGAATAACCAAGGAAGAAGAGATGAGAGAAGAAGGCGATCAGACTGAAATGAATTCAGTTTTAAGCAGACAAGGAAGACATTTGTAAACTGTAACGCCATCAGTGTAGTGGATTGTGACTTCCTTATTATACACTGCACATTTCTGTAATAAACATTATTTCCACTGTCAGTAGTCTTGTTGAGAACGAAAATCAAGAAAGATAATGGTATGTATATGGATGAACATAGACAAGACGGAGGTTATGAAAATAACCAACCAACAACAACAACAACAGCAACACCCAGCGCCAATCACCATCAACGGGAGGGATTTGAAAGAGGTTACTTCACTCACTTATCTAGGCAGCATTGTCTCAACTACAGACAGGAGGAACGGACGAGGATGTCAAATCGAGAATCGGGAAGGCGAGAAACACATTCATCAACCTGAAACCAATCTGGAAATCTTTGTCAGTCAGCATCAACAACAAATTACGGATTTCCAATACAAACGTCAAGTCAGTCAGTTCTTCTATACGGATCAGAAACTTGGTGGGTCACAAAGAATATTTCCAACAGCCTGTTGCAGACCTTTATCAACAACTGTCTTCGCTGGCTCTATACTGAAGATCAGATGGCCGGAAAGAATCACCAACAAGAAGCTATGGGAACAAACAAAACAAGAACCAATCGCTCAACAAATATGCAGGAGAAAGTGGAGATGGATTGTACACTCGCTGAGGAGGCCGTTGGGTGACATCGCGCGTCAAGCCCTCGAGTGGAACCCGAAAGGGAAGCGGCGAGTGGGACGTCGGTGCAAGGGTGACATGGAGGAGATCGTGTGAAGAGGAGCTGAAACAGTATGGATTAACATGGATGCAGGTGAAAAGTACAGCAGAAGACAGAAGCAAGTGGAGACGTGTAGTTGAAGCCCTACGTTCCACGAGGAACCCAAGGGAACAATAATAATAATGTATATGGATAAATCAAAGGTTAACTTGGCAAAATATAAAATTACTGCTGTACTTAGGTGTATGTTATGTGCTAAGATCGAAGTTTCTCAGATGAAATACAAGAAGTTATTAGCTCCATTTGTGTATATCAGTTTACGGATAACTGTCGAAGGAGACACACTGGAAGAGCAGAAAGTGTAGACTAGCTCTGATTTTCTGAACACATACTGTAAGGTAGGAGATTAAGAGAAGATAGATCTTTGAGCAGCACAGTGATGAGACATCCAATCGATACAGGATATCAGATAGAATCACCTTGAATTCTTTCAAATTATAGTAAAGAGACAAACAATCAGGCTCAAGTCACTTGAAGTTCACAGAGGCCATCACCATCATTAATTCAAAAAGAAACTGTAATGAGTCTTCCTGCACCACAGTAACTCGTTTTTAACCTTAACAGATTATGCCATCTTTCATTAAATGTGAATACTGGCTTCCTTTCAGCCTCACTTAGTTACATCATCACTTATGAATTGTCATGCTTCATTTGTCTGATGTCTAATCAGATGAGTTCCACTCACAGTTTTTCATATCCCATGCAACAACAATTTTCGAGTGATTTAAGTAACCTCATAATTTATGTACCTGAATATCTTGTTGCTACCCTTGCTCTCCATTCCTCGTTTTGTGCGAGAAACTCAGAACACATTACACATATAAGTCGGGGAATATTTCACCAATACAGAATTCTGATTCATCTATGTTACTATGACCATTCTTATGTGATGCTTCACATTGTATCTCTAATGAATTGAAGTTGGTAAAACTGTTATAGAACGGTTAAATTTCACTATTTGGATAGTATGAAGCTGACGAGATACCTGTGAAATATACTGTGGATGCCCTTTTTTTATAAGTTTCACTGTAATTGTATTCATGATGAAATCCTCTTGTGAAACACCTAGGATTTACTGTTACATAAGATTGAGTTTCAGACGAAATCGTTAACTGCTTCAACTAAAATACACACAGTCGTTTTGGTCAAAGCTTCATTCCAGATCATCGCTTCTCGTCTCTCTGAGTTGAGATCATGTGTAGTGTCTGTTCTTTGCAGTGTAATTTCTTCAGCGGTCTCTGAACTGAGACCAATGAAATTATCTGTATTCTTCCCTTTCAGAAGGGTGCTGTGAGCTTGCTCAACCCCATCCACGTGTCATGGTCGGCCTCCTATTGTATTATCTCAAGGATTGACCCATTAATCAAACAATAAATTAGTTGAATTAGTGGTGGTGGTGGTGTTAGTAGCACTAATCTTTACACTGAAATAGAAACTAAGTGAAGCATAAAACACCTTGGAATATTTCTTTCCTCTGGCCTTTCTTCGTCATCTCTTATCTTGTCGATTTCTAAGGAAACGTCCAGTCTAACCTACTGCATTAAGAAGGTAAGACAATCAGGAATCACTCAACATCTGCTTTGACAGTATGTGAACTACTCTATCTCACCTACTGATCTTTATCTTCCCAGCCCTTAGTCTTTTCTGGGCTACTCAAAAAGGGATGAATCGTATTATGAGGAGTAGGTGTTGTGTCACTGAGTCAGCTGGTTCGTTACTATTGTAGTAGACAGAGAGCTGAACTCATGTGAGAAGTGGTCTAAATCCATATTGTCTGACTGTCAACACCCTCTCCATTCACAACACTTCCTCACCTTCCATCTCATCAGGTAGGACTAGAATTCATCATTAGAGATTGTGTGCTCGTACAACCAAGTATAGAAACTCATCAATACCTTATTTGGTCTGCACCGCATGTGATATAGATAGTGTTGAAGGTGCAGCTTATAACTTACCAAAATAATTAGCTAATTTATCCTCTCCTATTTGTGAAACATATAAGTTACTATGTAATTAGCATAGTGAATCGACCCTTTCATTGTTCATCTTTCTGTAATTTTATGGTGTCACCCTTTCTATCGTTTAATCATAACTTTGCTATTTTTATTTTAGTTGTTATTACTATTATTACTATAATTTTATACTTTATGCGTATTTTTCTCCTTATCGCATACTGTAATTGCTACATAGCTGCTATAAAAACGTTTTGTTATCATTATTATGTAATGATTATTTCGTTTATTTATTTTTTGTTGTTGTCGTTTTTGAGTAAATTAGATGCAATATTGTACTGAATGCTGAAAATTCCTTGCTGTATCATTAGTACTGTTTTTGGAATACAGCAAATCATTGTTATTATTATTGTTCACGCCTTGAAAGTGACCTTTTGTGGACAATTTAGTTGACCTCTCTGCTCATCATGCACCGATTTTCAAATCTTAATTATTTCACTAGCAAACTACACAAGGGTGATTCCAAACTTTCTCAAACTCTATTACACAAATACATGGAGGGAATACGATCATAATACCACCTAGATAATCAAATGCTCTGAGTAAGAGCAATTCAAACTCACATTGTCAATAGCGATAATCCCACGTGGTCGAATCAGCTGTAAGCACAACTTGTAATAATTACTGTAATTTTCTTTGTCAGCATCAATGAAGGCGAAATCGAATGTTTCACTTTCTCCATTAGCGATGAGTTTTTCTAAAGAGGGCGAAAAATAAATGATTGAAAGTTGACTGGAAGGAATAAAAATTGAAAACTGATGGGACAAAATATTCACTGTGAAACTGAACAAGTATATATTGGTGTGTAAGGGGTTACAGAAATTCTTCGAGCTAACTGAGGTAGGTACATTTATCCATCAACGATCAATTTATCTATCTCTTCGAGTGTAGATCAGAGAAGACGAGCCACAGACAACTGATGGTTTTGAGGTACCACCGCATTTGGTGGCTGCATCCAACTTAGTGTGTTGTTATATGCTCTCAGTAATCTGGATATTTCTAAATACAACTTTGAGCAGGAATAATTTGTCAAGTGATGTTGTAGACAGTCTGGCGAAGAAGTCAAGGAATGTCATCTAGTGATGTCAGCTGTGTGTGTGTGTGTGGTCGAAACATAACTCCATCAGAAATATGCAGTCATGCATCAGTCATAAATGTCGTGTCAGTGACTCAACAATCTCACAATCCTTCAAGCAATGTAACTACACCTGGTCTCGTGGATATGTATCAGAAGAAACCGATAGATTGAGTGGTGATTATCGAAAATGCTAAGTACAATCTGAGGGCTCAGAGATAGTCAAACCGCTGAGTAATAAAATATCAAAATAATTTCTGCAAAGTCTCAGGTGCAGTACACTTGGAATGGCCTAGAAAACAAACGAAATTTCATCCAGAATTCAGACATACAAGAGACAAACGTCTTAATTAGAGTATAGATGCCATTCACCCTTCATATTTATCCAGACATTATGATTATTAGTGAAAGTATAATGAGTTTATCATTGTCTGAAATATAATAAAAACCATAATTAGATGAAAATGACTCATCCAGTGAACAAATTAACCCGCATAGTTGTGTCTAGATGTTATTAAGACAAACCCGTATGATTTATTGATTCATGTATGTATGAAGTAAAAACGTGTCACCTTGATCAATTAAAAGTCATAACGCCGTGAGATTTCCAGGTCTGAGTGAAACTGGATAACATTAAGCACTTCTACCGGACGTGTTTTCCATATTTCCATTGTGTGCAGTAAGGTCACACAGAAATTGATATGAAATAAGCTGACAGACTGGTAACTTATAAAGAAAAAGGGATTAGACAGTGTCATATACCCAGAATTGCTGATTTAATTGGGAAATTAGGTTAGGCATACTCATTTATAATCTGCCTTCGTCTGAGACAGTATGAACTGCAGTAGGATTAACCTGAAGGGAATATTAGAATGATCTGAAGAGTAGGACATTAAGCCACTGAACTGAATGGTTTTTTATGGAGGACTTATTTAAGAGGTGAGGTGTTAATGATAATTGTATTGTATTCAGACATGTGCACTTCCCTGTCATTATTATCTGATTATGTTTGAGATATTAGTGAAAATACGGTTACCTAGATAGCAAAACTTTCCAATGAGGCTTCTGCACCCACCTGCGGATTTGGCTTTAAAAACTGGGCTTATCAAGTTTAGTCTTACAAGATTGTACTAGTCAGTGCCCCCAATGGATCCACACCATTTCTGTGTACATATTTTGAGATAGCACTGACTGGACCTTTCCAAATCAGCACTTAGTAAGGAAGCATTGATAAGGGAAAAATATACAAAGTGAATCTTCTTCAACATAGTGCTGGATGTCGTTAGTATCATCAAACTTACCTTTTACGTGATTGTGAGAAGGATTTACAAATTAATTAAGTACTTTTGATGATAATGTTGTTCTCTTTTGTTCATTAGATAGTATCCTTACTTCAGTTATGTTCTGAGTAGAAGCCATTTTTCTTCAACTTGAGGAATATGTGTACTTTTACAGCACTGTTGTATTACTGGTCTCATCTACACAGAAAACTTTCCCTGATATTTGCAACTTAACTGAAAACGCAGTGGAATATCTCAGAGCCAGTTATTATTATTATTGTTTCCTTTAATTCCTAGAGGAACATAGGGCTTCAGCCGTGCGTCTCCATTGCGTTCGGTTCTCTGCTAGAGTCTTCACCTGGCTCCAAATCTGCCCACACGCTTTCATCTCCTCTTCACATGACCTCCTCCAAGTCACCCTTGCACTGACGACCAACTCGCCGCTTCCCTTTCGGGTTCCACTCGAGCAATGGCTTGTCTAGTGATGTCACTTGATGGTTTCCTCAGAGTATGGCCAATCCATCTACAACACCTGATGCTTCTTCTGCCAACTTGTTGCTTTTCGCTTGCATATCTTCCAGTTTGTGGGAAATCAGACATATATCATCGGCGAAGTCCAGATCCTCCAAGTTTTTTGTGTGAGTCCATTTTATGCCTGTTTCCTCATTGCCCGCTGTTTGTCGCATTATCCAATCTACTGCAATATTGGCGATAGTAGGCAGCCAGCCTTGTCTTACTCCTGTCCTCACTTCGAAGGATTCCGTAAGTTTCCCGTTGTGGATTACTTGGCATGCAGCATTGTCGTACAGCTGTTGGATGAGATGTATAATTGTCGGTGGCACCCCTTGGTAGTAGCGAAGTAGTTGCCAAAGCACCTCTCGATCGACGCTGTCTGCTGAAGGCCTTTTCAAAGTCGATGAAGTTGAGATAGAGAGGTGACTGCCATTCCAAGCTTTGTTCAATGATGATCCGTAATGTGGCGATTTGATCAATACATGACTTGTTTCTCCTGAATCCAGCCTGTTCCGGTCGAAGTTTTTCATCCAGGGCTCTTTTATACCTCAACTGTCAATGTACTACATTGTACTACAATTATACATGCTTCTCCTGTCTTCCATTTTCTGCTTTAGATTATATCACAGTTTGAAGTGATGCCCTGCAGTGCCAATTTATTCCTTCACCTATTACTCTATGTTGATAATTGTGTAGATAATGAAGTAATTCTCATCAATTCTGTCACTTTCGGCGATCAAAAGCTGTATTCAGTGCAGATGAATCCGTTAAGTCTAAGTAGCAATAGGACTAAAATACTGGTTCAGAGAACTGCCACCTGACTTCCGAGACTGAGCTGCTAGTTAGGTCATAATCATGACGTGTGAGAGGCAGCTGTCATTTGATAAACGAACGGCACCTTGCTGTTCAATCGCCATCACATTATCTACCCGCCTAGGATTCCTTCTGCTGTCAATCCTAATCATAGTGAATCAGAAGAAGGAAGCAAGGATGGTGAAACTGTCTGAGATAACCTTGCCTTGGCAAATGACTACATCTCATGGGAATGGTGATCTGATTAGCACCTATGTTTCATATATTTTCAAATCTCGACACAACCAAGATTCTCATTTAAACGTACATTTTGCCAAACAATTATTATTTCAGACAGTTTCACTATCAATCCTATAACTTCTGATGATGAAGATGTATGCAAGCAATGCTGTTTTCAATTAGATTTCATCAAGCTCTTTTCTAATATACACAAATTTACAAATTAATATATATTTTTAAAGAGTTGGTTTGTAAGGATTAGTTTTGCTTTTACGAGTTTGACCACAGATTGATATCAGTTAGAGAACCATTGAAATCCAGAACCAGGGAGTACTGGACAGCCAGCTGTTTCATCCTAGTTTGGGAATCATCGGTAGTACGCACCCACTGATAGGGTTCGATGACATTGGTTGGTGGTCGCTCTTAACCACGAATTTGTAGAAGATAGAATTGACGGGCTGGCCACTGAATTGGGTCCCAGTGACTGAACGGTATACGAGCTCGCTAACCTTGTAAACAGAAGGTCCTGGATTCGAACCCTGTCAATGCGTGAGTAATGCCGATGATTCCTAACCTAGGACGAAACAGCTGTTCAGTTCTCCCTGATTCTGGTTTTCAATGGTTCTCTAACTAATATCAATCCGTGGTCAAACTCGTAAAAATAAATTTTATTTATTTTATTTTATTTAAACGCAGAAAAACTTGGTACAATATGGCACCAAGAAAGATGCGCCACACAATAATAATAAAACAACATAGATTAAAAGTAAAAATATAGGTAGAAAACGGATAAAGAACTTCATCTGGAAGGAAAACAGTCATGTTTAACAAGTTCAAACAGTATTCGTTAACTATCATCAGGAAGGGAAGAAAGAAGGAAATTGCAACACGTTCGCCATTGATTACGATTCTTGGTCATATCCGATAACGTTTCGAGCCATCGATTCGAGCTATCTCGCGGACCCCAACCAGGGAGTCGTGACGCACCAACCGATGCTAATCTAGCACAAATATCCTTCATCCCACGACGCCACGTCATGGACTGACCACCCCTCCGCCTTTTCCATCCCGTCCCAGGGCTGGCTAGCGAACAGAGACCTGTACGGAAGCCTCTGGGATGACATTCGCAGCACATATCCAAGCCACCGGAGCTGGTGTTTCCAGATGATGACACTCAATGAATGGTGATCTCCACTGTGTTCAAACACACGCCGCCGAACCTCAGAATTACTCACGCGATGATGCCATCGAACGCAAGCAATCCTGCGGAGACAGCGATTATCGAACAAGCAGAGTCGCCGAACATCCTCAGCTCGGAGAGGCCAGGTTTCACAGGCGTAGAGCAAGACAGCCCGCATCGAAGCATTGTACACCCGACCTTTGACAGCCAGGCTAACGTCGCGACGGCGTCAGAGGTGGCATAAGTTGATGTATGGCACCCTAGCCTTCATTATACGGTTGGAAATCTCATTCGTCACCCCTCCGCCAGCACTCACACAACTATTCAGGTACACAAACTTATCAACAACTTCAAGCGGTTCACCCGCAAGAGTGAGTGCAGGTACAGGCTCCTGCCAATCTTGTAACAGTACTTTGCACTTAGACGGTGCAAAGCACATACCATACTTACAGACACTGATCGCCAACTGATTAAGTGCGATTTGGGCAGCATGCATGCTATCGCACAGTAAGACGATATCGTCTGCATACTCGAGGTCGAAAAGTCTATCTCCAGGTGCAGATCTACACCACCTTCACGCACATCCTTCAGAGATGACTCCAGAATGTTATCGATGGCAAAGTTAAAGAGAAATGGAGAGAGTGGGCAACCCTGTCTAACCCCACTGTTGGTTGGGAACAGTGATGATAGTTGGTTGTATGCCCTCACTCTATCTCAGGTGTTTCTGTATAGGGCTTTCAAGATGTTAACAAATTTCTCAGGTACACCTCTGTCTAACAGACATTTCTAGAGCACAGTTCTGTCCAACGAATCGAAGGCAGCCCTAATATCAAGAAACACAACGATCGTTGGCCTGCAATACGCGTAAAAATAAAAATATATATTAAGTTTAAATCAACCTTGGTGGTTCGTCAATAGGACGATATGAGTGTACATATAAACTCATAATATTAAGTTATAATATTAACAACAATAATAATTCTATAAATAACAAAGAGGAAAAAATGGAGTGATTTGTTATAATGGGGATAGTGAAAACAGCATGATCACACATATAGGATAAATGTTCAGACTGACATAGTAGGTCAAGGTTAAGCAAAAGTGATGCTAGATTGTTAGGAAAGTAAATAAACTAGGCGTTAATGAAGATCCAATAAGACTAGTCAAAAGGTGTACAGACAAGGATTGAAAGTATATCAGACTGGTGGCAGGATAATCAGTTGGCTGGGTCGTAAACTGTCTAAAGGATGGATAATGGTTTTACAAACACCGATCACTTCATCTATGTATAATGGAGGAATATAAACACTGTTGGAAAGGTTATATAGGGTGCGAAGAATCACTTAGAATTCTTTCATTTTGTCTACTAGATGGCCAATATCTACTAAATCCTACATAATGGAGCTTCGGATGGTTTGTATCTGTCCTTCACCAAAAAGCCATGATGGGAGATATACAGTAACACGTTAACTGAGCTGACCAGTAGTACGCCCGGTATTAGTTGTCTCAACAAGAGTACTTGAACTGAAATATACACATAGATGTGGCAAAACTATCTGACTTATCTAATTTGTGGATGGTGACTAGCAGTGGAATCCAGGATGCGCATTTCGTCCTATTTGGGACTCGTCATCTGGATGTACCTGCATTTCCCAATCGACGGGAAAATCTAAAATTCATTTATATCTGACTTATCGTTTGTTCGTTCTAAGCACAAATGGGAAATGATATACACAGGTTTGCTGCGTAAAATGTTCTCCGTACAGTTCTATATAGTTTCTCAAACATATTGAAATCTTATTGAAAATAATGTTCGGTAACATGTATTATTGATATAAGTATAAAACTTGGGCACTGTGGTAGAGTATAACACCATTATAGATAAGATTTTATTTTGATAAATCACACAGTGTTTGTTATACAGTAATATTAACTGATGACCACGTTTCGAGCACAAATTATTGCCACTCATAATCATATCAAGTCACTCACTCACACAACTTTTTACTTCATTTATATACATGAGTGGAATTGATGATTAGACATTTGAATAAAAATCAATATAGGATAATGTACATTCAGAAATAATAATATGAGCGTTATCAATCAAATACAATCAGATGGGACATAAGACGAGTGATTTTATAGTCAAAATAAGTAACTTGTTAGAATGTTATAATGTATGTGAAATGAAATAGAATTTTAAGATTATTTATTATCCTCCTCTGATTCGACTGACTGGTAGTAATAATATCTTCCATATATCTGGTATTTGCATTGAGTCATTTCTGTTGCATGTGTTGGGTGTAGATCACTCGATGAACCAGGATTCAGTAATCAACCTCTCTTTTTCCACCTACCTAGATTACTTTTTAGAATTTTAACCCTCTCCCAACCTATTGTGTGGTCGTGCGTTGTTAATGCATGCAGTGCAATTGCTGAGCTTTTTTCTAAATTACTTATCTTCTCGGGGTCAACCATTCTTACCTTAGCTAAATTCTTATGTTCCGACAATCTGACTAACCCCTAACTTACTAGTTTGACCTATGTAGTTCCCCTCACAGTCATTACAAGGTATTTTGTAAATTATATTATTTTGTTTAATTCGGTCAACGCACAGAGTCCTTAAGCCTACAGAGCTTGTCCCTGAGTGAGTTTGTAGGTTTGAATGCCACCATAATCCCTGCTTTATTGAGAATCCTACGTAGGGTCTCAGATGTACCCTCCTTATTTTGACCATAAAAACATCTTATTTCCCATCTGATTGTATTTTATCGATAACTCTAATATTATTTCTGAATGTACTTTATCTAATATTGATTTTATTCAAATGTCTAATCATCAATTTTCACTCATGTATATAAATGAGGCAAGAAAGTTGTGTGAGTGACTTGATATGATTATGGGTGGCAATAGTTTGTGCTTGGAATGTGGTCATCAGTTAGCATTTATCAAAATAAGATCTTACCTCTAATGAAGTTTCGTTAACATGTATTGCTCTAAATTTTACTTAGGGGAACTTTTAGATTTTTTTAAAAGACACCTGAACAATTGTTAACTGTTTACACTTTCTTGATGGTCATTCCTTCCTTTACGCTTACAACTTAATCTTCCCTAATTCCTTATTTGTTTATCATCCTTTTTTGCACAATACTGTTTAAAGGAGCAAAATGGATTACTTACACTAAATGTAGCATCATTTATTCTCTCCAGCACACTTGAAAATTCTTACTTTCCTACAGACACTGTAATACTGTTGATTTCAGCTTGAGAAGTGAAAAAGACATGCATGGATTGATCCAATCTCATGATTGTTGTAATATTGATGGTACCATGATAGAGACTAAGTCAAGTGTTTCTTATCTTGGCATTAGTTTCTCTTCAAACCTTTGCTGGTCGTCTCATATTCTTATAGTTTCTAAGAAAGTTTTCCGTCTGACTTATTACATAAAGAAGTTGAGGCACTCAGGTATAACCCAACCTCTTCTCATACAATTTATTAATTCATGTGTTTTGCCCATCATTCTTTATTGTTCTCCATTATTCTTCCCTGGGCTACTCAAGAAAGACCATATAATACTACGAAGAACATTGAAGGCTGTAAGTAGGGTCAGTGCTATCCCTTTGACTCAACTAACTGACACTGTTGTCAATAGGCATATGAATTCTTGTAAAGACTTAGCTAAAGTCATCTTGTCTGATAGTGAACATCCCCTTTATTCACAACTGCTTCCTTGCATCTCTTCGGGTAAAAACAGAAGAAATTTCATAAACATTTATGCTCGTACTACAAAATATAAAAATTCGACCGTACCATATTTGGTACGAGTATTGTGTGAAGAGACAAATATCAGAAAAGAACTTTTACAACTTTTAAATCATTAACTCAACTAAAAAATGTAATGATGCATATTACCGCATGTGTTGTTTGTTATATTATTTATTTATTATTCACTATGACCTAGCAATGGTGTGATTTTGTTGGGGTTTTTATTTTTCCTATTAACTATCAATATTTTAACATTTTATGCATTTATATAATTATAAACAGAGCTAAACCATTGCAATATGTAAAAGAAACGCTGAAAATTCCATGCTGTAAATTGTTATTATTGTGGAATAAAGTGATTATTATTATATTATTATTATTTTCATTCCTTCAAGTGTTCCAAATGGAACCTTGGACTACAAGCTTTAACCTCTGAAGTCTCAATAGCGGTGACTTTGCCTTCTTTCATGGGATGCGATTCTCAGCCTCATACCCAATCTTTCGGAGTTCCCTTGGTATGCTATCATCAAGACGAAGTATATGATGATTGGACTGGCCGTGAATTCAGCTGACATAGACTTTTAAAAACCATATATGTACAGAGATACCTGAAATCTCATTTCTGGTGTTTTTCATTTTCATGCTAACACTTAACAAAATGCGGTTAATTAATTGCTTAGTTATTTAAGGTTTTAAAGACTCTTTTGGCTAATTAACAAATTCAAAGAAGCATAGTATAAGTTACAGCTATCCACACTCACCCAATATATCAACAGCTGCACCTAAACGGAAATCAATTTTCTTCTCTACACCAGCTTGTTTCCATGCTGGCATACAAAAATCTTGTAGATAAGCATCTGTTATATCCATCGCGACTACACATCCATCCGAAGGCAGTGCTTCTGCAATGGTTAATACACTGTATCCAGTATAAACTCCTGTGTAAAAAGAAAAAATGAAAAAAATAATGGCTAGAAAAATCATCAATAAATTGTGGATTTAGGAATTGGACGAATGTAATAAATAAGAAATTACTACATAATTATTGCGATTATTAGTGCAATAGAAGTCTAATGAAAGTAAAACTGTAGAATAGTGGAATTCAGCAGAGAAAATCTTGTTTACAGGATTTTATCATGAGCTGACATTGGTAAGAGAACCATTGGAAAACCTGCAGGGAGTACTGGACAGCTGTTTCGTCCTAGTTTGAGACTCTTCATCAGTACGCAAAAACCACAGGGGTTCAAACCCAGGACCCTCTGATTACAAAGCAAGCTGGTAGACCATTAAGCCACTGGGAACCGATCCAATAGCCCATGAAGGGTGCAGCAGGTCGGGTGTGAGGACAAATACTCGCCGAAGACATTGGCTAGCGGTTGCGCTATATCGTGAATTGGCAGAAGTTAGAATTCATGGGCTGGCCACTGGATCGGGTCCCAGTGGCTTAATGGTCTACCAGCTCGCCTTGTAATCAGAGGGTCCTGGGTTTGAACCCCTGTGGTTTTTGCGTACTGATGAAGAGTCTCAAACTAGGACGAAACAGTTGTCTAGTGCTCCCTGCAGGTTTTCCAATGGTTCTCTAACCAGTGTCAGTTCATGATTAAATCCTGTAACCAATCAACCAAATCCATACAATCAAATACTAGAAAATCTTGTGTTATAACTGAATTAAGAACAAGTGAATTTAATTGGCTGATACGGTGCTTCTGTTGGACATTGAATCATTCTTAAAGTTGAAATTCGAAGGAGAATCTCTAATATTTTCGAAAATTCATTGATTGTAATCAATGATTTCAAGCCTCATATATAAAGTAAGGGTGTTGATTAGCCTTCAACATCTCAAGTTCACAAGAAAAACGACTTAGAAATCTTTGACTTTAATGAATCGCACATCCACCCCATGTCGAAAACTACTACAAAACTACTACAAATCTGATGACTTTATTGACTCAAATTACTAAATTGTTCCTTTAGAAAAGTCAAGATATTATTATTATTCCATTGCGTTCCGAGTGGAACATAGGGCTTCAACAACACATCTCCACTTTGTTCTGTTTTCTGCCGTCCTCTGCAGCTGGGTCCACGATTGATCAAACTCGCTCATCTCTTCCTCACACCATCTCCTCCATGTCACCCGAGGACGACCCACTCGTCACTTCTCATTTGGATTCCACTCGAGGGCCTGGCATGCGATGTCATTCGGCGGCCTCCTCAATGTATGCCCGATCCATTTCCATTTTCTCCTACATATTCGTTGAGCGATCGGCTCTTGGTTGGTTTGTTCCCAGAGTTTCTTGTTACTAATTCTTTCCGGCCCTGGCTATTTGATCTTCAGTATGGAGCCAGCGAAGGCAGCTGTTGATGAAAGTCTGCAACCTGTTGGAAATTCTTTTCGTGACACGCCAGTCAAGTTTCTGATCCGTATAGAAGGACCGACTTCACAGTGGTGTTGAAAATCCGAATCTTGTTCCTTATGCGGCTGAGTGTGGAAGATTTCCAAACTAGTTTCAGGCTGATGAAGGCGTATCTTGCCTTTCCGATTCTGGCTGACCTTGACATCTTCATCCGTTCCGCCCGTAGTTGAAACGATGCTTCCTAGATAAGTGAAGGAGGTAACCTCTGTTAAATCTCTCCCGTTGATGGTGATTGGTGCTGGTTGTTGTTGTTGGTTAGTTGTCTTCATCACCTCCGTCTTCTCTGTGTTCACCTGCAGTCCTGTTTTCGCTGTCTCTTCTGCCAGTTTGTTGGTTTTCGCTTGCAAGTCTTCGAGTTTGTGTGACATTAGATATATATCATCTGTAAAACCCAGATCTTCTAGAGTCTTCTTATCGGTGATCCAGTGTATTCCTGACTCCTCGCCCCCAACAGTCTGACGCATAATCCAGTACACCACATTTAAGAATATCATCGGTGATAATAGGCAACCAGCTTGTCTTACTCCTGTATTCACTTCGAACTCCTCGCTGAGTTTCCCGTTGTGGATCACTTGACACATGGCATTGTCATATAAGTGTTGAATGAGGCTGATAAAGACTTGAGGTATGCCGTAGTGTTGAATTAGTTTCCAAATTACTTCTCGGTCTACTCTGTCGAAGGCCTTTTCGAAGTCGATGAAGTTGAGGTAGAGGTTTGACTGCCATTCTATGCTTTGTTCTGTGATGACGATGCGTAGAGTAGCAATTTGATCAGCACATGATTTGCCTTTCCTGAATCCAGCTTGTTCCGGTCTGGCGGAGTTTTGTATCCAGTGCATCCTTTATACTCTCCAGGATGATGCGACTTAGTATTTCACTTGGCGTGGACAGGAACATTATTCCACGCCAGTTCTTGCACAGGCCTTTTCTTCCGATCAGTAGGCACCTTTCCTTCTTTCCAAACTTTTTGAATTAATGGAGTGAGTGCATTTGATTTTACTCCTTTTTGTTCATATTTTGGGTTAATTAGGACATTGACCGGTTCAGTGTAGATTTCGTCAAAAATCATTATCGGTTGCAGAGTCAATAAAAGCCAAGGAGAAGTTGTTTCGTTCAATTTTGAGACTCTTCAACATAAATGACAAAGGTTACAATCCAATTGAATCGCTAAATTGACTAAGGACTGTTTCAGTAATCTAAATCTCTCCTCGATTCCCTCCGTAGTGGTTTCTTGACGATGTGCTGATGGAAACTGAAAAATTCAGATGGATTTTCAGTGACTGGCTTTGATGTCGGTTTTCGACGAAATGTTTAGAAGTTAGTGATTTACACTCGTGAATCGCTGCCACAAGTGAACTACATTAATCATACATATAAATATTGTAAACTAGAGTTTCTTTAAATAAGAAAGTCATCTGAATCAACTCATCGCATTTTTAAATTTCCTATATACATTCTAAAAGTCGGTAGATTTGCTTCTGTTTGGTACCTTTCTATTACGGGATTTCATCATGAGCTGACATCGTTTAGACGACCGTTGGAAAACATATGGGGAGTACTGTGGACATCTAGTTTGTCCTAGTTTGGGACTCTTCATTGGAATGCAGGGCTAGAACCCAGGATTTTCTGGTTACAAGGTGAGTTTGTAGAATATTCGACCGCTGGGACTCGCCCGATCCAGCGGCCAGTGCATGAATTCTAACTTCTGCCAATTCACGATATAGCGCTTCTGGAACTAGCCAGTATCATCTCTACCGAGCATTTGACTTCACAGCCGACCGGGTGGATGATACTGGTCACGACCTCCTACTAGAATCTTTCTGTTAGTTGCTTTGAAAGGCCTACAGAATCTATTCGTGCTGTTTACCATCATGATTTCATTTCACACTTGAAAATTCGCAATATCTTATGCCATCTAGAGGTACACTTCAGAAACTTCTTGAGTAATTTCTAATATATCATCAAAATGTTTGCTTGCACAGGAGAAAACTGCACTGATCAAAGTTATGAGTGTGACACACAAGTGGAGATTTAAATATCAGTAAATATTATTATTAGTCAGTAACTAGTGTAATGTGTCTAGTCCTATCTTCGGTGCAGACTGAGTTCTATCAGTCAAGCTTGCAATGTGGCCACCACGCCACTAGGTGGCTCGCCATCATTGTGCACTGTGAATTGTTGGTATTAGATGGTTGGAGGCAATCGCAGTTGCTAGTTGGCACTCATCAGCAAGGCGTATCTGCAACCTCGAGGGAACTCATTTCCCTTCTGAGATTCGAACCCGCGTCACCCAGTACTGCAGTCAGAGACGTTACCACTGAGCTATTCGGGCTCGCGATTGACCTCCTGTAGGACTGTATTGGATATTTCTGATTGGACACTAGTCAGTCCTACAGGAGGTCAATCGCGAGCCCGAATAGCTCATTTGTAACGTCTCTGACTGCAGCACTGGGTGACACGGGTTCGAATCTCAGAAGGGACATGAGTTCCTTCGAGGTTGCAGATATGCCTTGTTGACTGGTGAGCGCCAACTTGCACGAAACCTAGGTCCAAGGCTTCCTGTGGCCGATTGCCTCCAACCAACTAATAAACAGAAGTTATTGTACACAAATAGTTGTAAACGATGCTTTTTGTCGAATATGTCAATCCTATTATAAGGTATGGTACTTACCGACATCCAATGTCTTCTTAGCATTGATTGCATAACACAAGTTCGCCAACAATTGCATTTCTATACTTGACATTAAATAATATGCCTTGGGGTCATCTTTTGTCTTCTAGTAAATAAAAAAAAATGATGATAATAATAATGTATAAAGAAAAATAGACTAACTGACTAACCTTCAATATCCATTTTTGTGCTTCTGATAGACGTAATGAATGCTCAACTATGTACTGGTCAAGTTTGCTGTCACTCTTTACACAACCATATTCCGTGACAAGTTTATGAGTGATCGGTGATTCATCAGACATTGGCATTTTTGGAACTTTCTGGTTGTATTTATCGATTGGCAAATAAAAACCTGTAAAAGTAAGGAAAAAGTCAAGTTGCGTTAATAAAATATAGTTTAAGGCAACAAAAATGACTATTTCCTTGGGTTCCGAGTGGAATATTGGGCTTTAACAGCAAACTCACATCTCATCTTTTTCTCCTCAGTCCTGTGTAGTTGGCGCCACGATTTCTCGCAAGCTTGCGTATCCTGCGCACACGGTCTCCTTCGTGTCACGCTGAGATGCTCATCTTGTTGTTTCTTATTCGCTTCCGATACAAGGGCCTGCAGGTCGATGTAACTTAATGGTGGTCTCCTCAGAGTATTTTCTACCCGTATCCACTTCCTTCGGTATTTTCTTTTTGGTTACTAGGCCCTTGTTTGGGTGTCTTACCAGAGTTTTGTGTTGCTAATCCTTTCTGACCGTCCATCTTATCCTCAGTATACAGAGAGGACAGCTGTTGATGAAAGTGTGGAGTAGCCTGTTGAAAATGCTTTCAAGTCTCTGACCTGCATAGAAGATTTCTTTAACAATTGAAATCTCCATTTCTAATTTATACTAAAAAGTATCATATTACATGTTTTTTTATTCTCTGATTCCCGCTGATTGATTATACTGGATCGAAATGCTGGATGTCTGTGGAATACCGTCGCCCGGTAGGGATGTAGGTACGTTGAGATGACTGATCGCAAATAGGAAAGGCTATAACCGCCACCAACCATGTGTCATTAGAATACTTCGGTATGATATTCACTCGTACAGTGAAAAAATATGTTAAGGGAACATACGTCTGTCACAAAAGTCTGTCTGACATGGAAACGTCAAATGAAAAGTTGAGACATGTTATTTTTTTATTCCTTTACGTTCCCAGTGGAACATATGGCTTCAAGCTAGAGACTTGAAGTTTCTGTAGCAGTGGTGATAATATTTTTACAGCACGTGGTTGCAGGCCTTTGTCTACAGCTGTCTTCGCTCTATACTGATGATCAGATGGCCGCCAGAAAGAATCACCAACAAGAAACTATGGGAACAAACAAAACAAGAACCAATCGCCCAACAAATATGCAGGAGAAAGTGGAGATGGATTGGACACTCGCTGAGGAGGCCGCTGGGTGACATCGCGCGTCAGGCCAACGCTCGAGTGGAACCCGAAAGGGAAGCGGCGAGTGGGACGTCCAAGGGTGACATGGAGGAGATCGTGTGAAGAGGAGTTGAAACAGTATGGACTAACATGGATGCAAGTGAAAAGTACAGCAGAAGACAGAAGCAAGTGGAGACGTGTAGTTGAAGCCCTATGTTCCACTAGGAACCCAAGGGAACAAATAATAATAATGAGAGCAGCAGATGAATAAGTTATTCAGGGAATTAGGCAAATGAGAAACAAAAAATTTATACAATGCTTACTTTGAAATGAACAGTGTTCAGTTTTTTACAAGTCACTTTATTAAGTAGCCAAGCTAGTGTCTATATTTATATAAGAATGCAATAACCTTGTTCACATTGTTTCATGCGTAGGCGACATGTAGTATTAAACTAAAAATAAGAGTTTGTTTATTGCTATATACATTCTTAACCTTTATGTGAATGAACTGATCATCACGCGAGATCTTTTACAGGCATGTTTCACATCTTACTTAGCATAAACAGACGTACGATTGAAAGGACAAGGTCACAAATGCCATTCACACTATGCTTCTATTTAAATCTAAACAAACACTGTGATTGGTTCATTTGTATTTTTAGTACTTTACCAGGAATGGTAGTATTGTGAAAGTACTTTTTCTCTGAATGTTTTGATAAACAATCTTGGGCTGCACTTTGTTGAAGCCTTTTTGTTTTGATCGCTTTGCATTCTGAGCGGAGCATAGGGCCTCAGCCTTTGAAGTTTAAGTAGCAGCGGTGTTTGATTATACTACCGGTCGGTGTTGCTAGCCTCATGCATAATATTTCTTGTTTACTGGGCTCATTGCCGACTAAGCTAGGTTTGGGAGTGTGCTGGCCGGGGATTAAACCCTGGACCACATCCGTGGTTGGCGAGCAGTCTGCCACTGAACCATCGACGCACAATGCTGAAGTCAACTGAAGCGAATTTCAATATTTAATTATGACGTATTCTGTGTGATGACAGTGACAAGTTATGGTTTGTTTGAATGGCATTGTGTATTGACAGACTGGTAGTAGTGAGACTAGCTTTATCAGAGAGTAGTTGAGCAATAAAACTACTGAACAGACACTATCTGAATACAGTTAGTGAGCGGTATCTTATCTTATCAGAGAGTGACATTCACTTATGCTCATAATCTAGATACCAATTATTATCTCAAACAGATTACACATCATGGTTTGAATGTTTTCAGTTTTCAGAAGAACCTACATTTGAATTTTACCCCAAACTCTAGACTCTGAAAGCAGTGGATTTCCACACTGCTTACACTCATATTTCAAAGTGTCAAAAGCGTATCAGAATTTCAAATCGGGTAATGTGAGAGACGGTAACTGGTCATAAAATCTCTCCATGTACATTCTATTTGTCATTCTGATACTTATTTAATTTTGAGGATTTCATCATGAGCCGACATCAGTTAGAGAACCATTGGAAAACTGGCCAGGGAGTACTGGACAGCTGTTTTGTCCTAGTCTGGGACTCTTCATCAGTATGCGCCCGCCGGAGTTCGAACCCGGGACCTTCTGATCACAAGGTGAGCTCGTAGACCATTACGCCACACGGACCCGCTCCAATGGCCCATGAATTCTAACTTCTGCCAATTCACGACATAGCGCAACCACATAGCAATGTCTTCGATGATGAAATCCTCCAACCAGTCAAACAAATTCCCTACAAACCGATACTTCAAGAAGTACGTTAGTATTTCAACTAATTTTGATATAACTAGCTTTTCAGCAGTATGTCATCGTTTTGACATTCGCCTACCTTTTTTTCACTTAACTCTTACCGTTTATCCCTGTTTTTCTGGTTGATCTCTAATTTCTATGCTTCACTTTACAGCTGTGGGAGATTTTATTTGAATAAACTCACGAAAATGCATTTTATTCAGCTCGATTCTTGAAGACAGAGTTTTGATCTCATCTGGTTAGGAATATTCTCAGGTTAATTCCCAGGTTGTATTACGACTGTGTTTGGTCAGTTAATTTTACTGTACAGCAAGTGTTTTATACATGAGGAACTTTTGAAATGTGTAGCTGCCAGATACCATCGTTGCAGTTTCTAAAATCTTATTATTATTCTAGTTGTTGAATAATGCTACCGATTCTATCAAGCCAATATGTGCACTGATATTGTCAGAATCTAATTTAGGACTGCATGTGACTGGTGGAAGCATTTTGGCGAGGCATACAGAAGAAGAACGCATCGATTAGTTTCCTGTTACCAAACAGAAATACTTGGATTTTAGTCATAGATTAACTACGAAGTCAAACAGAAGTAGACTCAGGGAATCATTTACGATACTATTCGCTTTCTGTCACTGCCTGAAAGTCATACATGAGTACGAGCTTCAGTAGTGCGGAATGTTTGTATTCATTTGAGTGGAGCAGCATTTTCATTGAAAATCATTACTGTGTAGGTAGTTAACTGAATCATAATTGTTTTCAAGGTCTGAGCAGATAAAAGTTCTATAACTTTTAAGGGTTGTTACTTCTGGAGAAAGGGTGTGTATGCATATGTCAAATAATCCCCAACTCCTCTAACAGAACAACTTCGTGTTTCAGTTTTACTGTTATACAGAAAACCTCAGTTTCATGATAAAGTCTTCACCTGAATTAGTCTTAAAAGAGCATTATTGAGTGGTCAAACTTTTGTTTATTCAGTTAGCATAAGTTTGTTGATGTGCATCCAGAATACTTCTCACTTTAATTCATATGACCTACCCGTTATCCAACTGACATACAACTGCTGAATATTCAACAGTTGGTTTTCATTCTATTTTCGTCTTCAGTGAAACACGGGACTTCAAGCTTCAAAGTTTCATCAGCGGTGGTGTCGTTTTAACAGGGTGGGGTTGCTAGCGGTAGTTTCGTGATTTTGATATAAGTTATTATCGCTGAACAATACCACAGATTCTATGGAGCTATAATAATAATTATTTTTTCCTTTATTTCCTAGAGGAACATAGGGCTTCAGCTGCACGTCTCCACTGAGTTCGGTTCTCTCCCAACGTTTTCACCTGGCTGCACGTCTGCCCACATGCTTTCATCTCCTCTTCACATGACCTCCTCCTCCATGTCACCCATCCTCGCAGTGACGACCAACTCGCTCATTTGGGTTCCACTCGAGCAATGGCCCGGCGTATGATGTCACTTGATAGTTTTCTCAGAGTATGGTCAATCCACCTGCATTTCTTTCTGCATATTTGTTGCACAGTTGGTTCCTGCTGGGTTGGTTCGCTCCCAGAGATCCCTGTTGCTGATCTTTTCTGGCCAGCCATCTGATCTTGAGCGAAGTACTGAGCGAAGACAGCTGTTGATGAAGGTCTGTAGCCAAAACGTGTATGGTTATTGACAGAATGCGATTTGGTTATGATTCCGAAACTAGGAGACAAAGTACCTAGGTTACCTGTCTCCTCGTATATTAATCAGTTAAACTGCTCCTCTGGAGCTAGTTATATTGGTATTTGCTCGTGGATAAATAAAGGTTTAGTTAAAACCACCAGCAGTTTGATATTAGATTGCCTAGTCTAAAGACGCCACGAATCCAGCATTGAAGAACCCTTTTCCTACCATCCATCAGGTACCAAGTAAACTGCCAGTCGCCTTGAGATACATAACACCCCGAATATCAGAGTCTGTATTTATAGCATTTGGCTCAAAACAACAGAAACTTTGCGTACAAAATAAACAGGTCTCATTAAGCACTGCTACCCTGACTTGCTGTGGAATCTATACATTCATAAATTCTCTATTACTGTCCTTAATTTATCTGATATTCAGTTTAATGCCACATATTTATGCATATTGTGGCACACACAAGTTCTGAAATGTACTCTATTGACCTTATTCATTCGATGTTATTTAAAAATATTAATTCTGTCAAAACAGTGATCGTTCATATAAGTGTGGAACTTGATGAGGAAGTTATCGATAGGAACATTCTTTATTCATAAGTAAAAACACAGTTTTTTTGTTTGTTCAGCGAAGAAATTTCTTTTCAACGACTTCATTTTCAAGCCAACTGTACAGTCGTATTTATATTACAGAAAAAGTTATTAAGTGGCACTAAATAATTGCTCAGTCAATATACATATATATATGTGATAAGAATAACGATAATTAAAATGTTATAAGGGGTAGAGTTGAAGTGGATAAATTACAAAATTATTAAAGATTGTTTTATAAGTGAATTGAAAAATGTTTTAAAAATGTCAAGTGTTGTCTAAAAATTTTATAAAATAAGAGTACGATTACGATAAGAATGAAGATGTGAAGTGAAGTGGAATGAATTCAAGTGGTAAAATAAAATAAAATAAAAACTAGAAAGAACATTACTATGACCAAGGTAAAGAAAGGGGTTTGACAAAACGTTTTTGAACACATAATTTAGGTTTCTGTTCATGTATAGCTAAAGCTTCGGCTATGCATTCGGTGAAGAAAACGTAACCTTTTGGAGCGATTCGATTTTGCCATGTAGATAACTTTGAAGGATGAATCACGTGGGGCTGAATGACCAGACTCTAACAGGTGATCACAAATAGACGACTTCGCAGTTCTACGTTCGCCTTTCATTAACCAAACCGGATAGTGTTCAGCTACACGTTTTCGGAGAGTACGCTTACAACGTCTTTTGAAACTGGAAAAACCGATAAAATCTCTCAATTCCGACCATGTTCATTCTTTGTGAACAAACACTGAACAACTTAAAACATGTGGATATTTAACTTAAAAATTCTAAACGTTCCATTTACTACTTACAACTCCCAATGTAATCAGCCCTACGCCAGCGTGTGAAAGAGTATATACACATAGAGGTGGACATAAGCAACAGTAGTTTATCCTTGACGCATTGTCGAATCATATTTCGGTTGGTGAATATTAAATGTAGGTTAGCTGCACAAAAAGACCGTTTAGCACATTGAGAAAAACGACTTTAGTAATAGTGTCACCTTTGGACGCCAAAATCATAAACAATGTCTTCTTTGGCACTGTGGGACAGTTTCTTTCTTGATGCTTCTGTGAATAAAAATTCTAGGATATCCGTTACTGAAGAGAATTGTGCGAAGGTTTTCTAGTTCTACATCGACCGTATCTATAGAGAAATTTTCCGAATTCTGCATAGAGAACAGATAAGATTTCTTCTTCTGCGTAGAGGTACACACCTGTTAAAGTTATGGTACTGCCCTATAAAGCTTGACTTTCGGTAAGTCAACCTCTCTAACTTGCCATCCTCCCTTCTATCTGGGCTAACTTCTGAGAAGTGAAATGCGGAGTTTGACTCTTCTTTGATAATGAAAAGCATAAATGGATGAGGACCATTAGGTTTTCCGAGAAGTTCAGCAGTTGAACATTCATCACCATAAATAATAAAGGTATCGTCCATATATCTATTATACATATGCAGACTCGAGATGGTTTCTTTCAGCGGATCATTCCTTAAGCTCGCCATGAAAACATCCACCAGGAGAGGTCCTAAAGGACACCTTATGCAGACTCCATTTGTGTAATTATAGATGACATAATTAAATCTAAATTGCACATTAAACGTGAATCTCAATAATAGCTGCCTTAGACAATTAGTTGGAAATCCAATTTTCATGCTTTTTAGATCAATGTAATCGCATTGATAACAGATAGTTTCTACTAGTGGTACATCTGTGTATAAGGAACAAACATCTAATGAAATCATGTGCTTACCGGTCACATTAATTCCATCAACGCAACTGACAAAGTCAAAAGTGTCCGGAAGACTATGTTATTATAGATTTGTCCTCACTGATCCAAGAATTTCATATTTGAATAGAGAATTTACTTTAAGCAATATAAAGCCGGACCACTTATCAGTCGCCTACTGTTTTCAGTTAAAAATGTCTAGACAAGTCGATAAATGCACAGTTATACCACGACTGATACTTCAAAAACTGATTTATATAACGTTCAAATGAGTTTATTCATTCCAGCTGTAACATTTAGAAGACAATAGTCATCAAAGAGGCTCCTTTCAATGAACTTAATAACAGGCTGGGCAGTCGTGTATGTATATATATAAATTTAAAGAAAAGATGTGGGTATTTGGTGGATGGTGACTGGCAGCGGAATCCAGGATGCCCATTTCGTTCTATAATGCTTATAATAGTAATGTGAGCTGAGATGAAATATTTGTGATTATAGTCACAATTCAATATCGAGCAGTAAAATGAGTCATATAATTCGCATAAGATTATATCCTACTGACTGATCGGGTTGGGTGGTTGTATACGTCTCATATCAA